ATAATAAAGCTAAAATGGTTTTTAATTTAAGCATATAAAATAGATACGGGTATGTAAAAAGTAAATGAAGACAGGAATAATAAGACAAAGAGGTTTGTAAACATGTTTTTTTGAGTTTATTGTTGATAAATAGAATTTTGTAAGAAAAAGATTTTAACCATCATTTTATCATTCAGTTGTGAGATCGTTGTAAGGCCTCAACTCTAGCCCACCTTTCCCTTTAGGTTCTGTTCCCCATCTGATTTCCTGAAGGAAGTAGAGCTATTTGGCAGAATCAATATCATCTGGAAAAGGTGAATATAGTAGGGACTCTCTCCCATTTAGAACTGCATTATTCATACAAATTATTCACTTCTGAAAAGGGGCTTTTGATAATTGAGTGGTGTAAAGATATTAGATCTCAACTATGAATCTCTAAACTTGATGTTTGAGCCCCATGGCCTGATTGAGGAAGTGGCAGGGATCCACATCTGAGGACCTCCCAACCTCTTCTCTCCCTCTTCCCTCTTGATGGAGAAATGTGACCTTCAAATGTCCACAGTAGAGCTAAGGGTTTGTGCTTGACAGTCTGTATACTCATTCTTTACTCTCTTTTTTACCTTGTTCCATCATTTATTCCTGGTTCTCTGAACCTCTCACCTATCTGACCTTATCTACATAAGAGTCCCAGCCTGTAGGGCTCCATCCTTGGTGGCTTCTACTCCTTCAAGACTCAACTCACAGATGACTTCTCTGGAGCCTTCCCTGAATGCTCTAGGTAGATATAAATTGGAAAATTGTTCCTCCCTCACCTGTGTATCCCTCTCACAGTGCCTCCAAAGTACTTTGTCTGTACTTCAGTGATAGTACCTATTCTACTGTGATTCTGCTGCAGCTTTGTGATTGTCTGCCCCTCTGTACCAAGCATTCTGAGAACAGGGGCCAAGCCTTATTCATTTCTGTGTTAATAAATGGTTGTTGAATGTGAGGATGAGTTCAGTTATTTGTTCTATTCACCCTCTCAGTAATGTGTTCTTACCCATTCATCCATCAAGCTCTCATTATGTGCCCATCTAGACCCAGTGATGCAAGACAGTGTGGCCAGTGTTGTATCTTGCCTAAAAACAGTGTATGAAATGCTACTCAACTTGAAGAGGTGGCTTAAGAAAGGTGCTCAGTGAGGAAGTAGCCATGTTGTATGGAAGAAGTCCCAGGTACAATGCAAGGAAAAGAGCACAGACCTAAGAATTGGTAGTCATGAGAGACTGGGTGGCAAGGGGGAGCAGCAGTTGAAGCAGAGTGCTGGGCTCTCTGGTATGTGCATGGCAACACTGCCCCTCACTGCAGTGTCCCTGAACTCCTCATAGTGTCTTTCCTTATACCTGTGTACTATATGTCTCTATAGTGTATCACATTCATTTACCTTCCCAGGAGACTGTACTTCACCATTTCAGAGTTCTGTATCACATGGCACATCATGGCTCTGTGCAACAGAGGAGTGATATATAGTGGCTTTGTTTAGTGGAGAGCTATAGTTTCTTTAGCACTCCAGCCCTTCTTCCATTCTTCGTGGTTCTAGTGAGGCTATTGATCACTTTGCCTTGTTCCTCTCACCCCTCCCCGGAGTTGGGCATATCACTCATGCTAGGCCAGATGAGAGTTCTCAATTCCCCTACGCCTCCATCCACACCCCTCCCACAAGAGTGATTCTTCTGAAGATGGCCAAAGGACCCAACAGGGTTCTGTGCAATCAGAGTCCATTGCTAAATTGAATATATAGAGATACTGGCTAAGGGTTTTGAACGTATTACCTAAACTATATGGTCAATTGGTATCTTCCTGTTCCTAATGCCACAGAGGTGGATAAGGGAAGGAAGAGTGACCTCAGATGGACTCCATTATATAAAATTGTGAAACAAGCAGGTCTGTGCATGTCTTTTAAGGAGCAGGTGTTAGCTCAGCCACTGATCTGTGCTACACTTCAAACCTTATAGCAATGATGTGGCGATTCCCAATTAAAGAAAAAGAGGCAATAATGTTTCATGAGTACCAAGATAGGACAAGCATTACGGTAACTACTTTACACCTATTACCTCACTGAGAACAATCCTGGGAGACAATCATTACTGGACACACTTTACAGATTGAGAAAATGAGACTCAGAATGAAAAATGATTTGCTTAAGTTCATTGTACTATTTTAAGTAGTGGAGCCAGTATTCAAACCCAGGTCCTCAAAGCCCGTGCATGTACCATTACAAATTTATATATACATTTATATATAT